AGTTACTCGCCATTGGTTCAGGGTGGTTATGTGCCTTTCAAGCTGACTGACACATGGACAACTAACTGCATCATACTTACAAGCATTCTTCTGCAAAGTGGTGAACTTTTTTTAATCTATTTTACACAGATTGCTTCCTGCTATTCTTGCATGATTAAAGGCTATCCAGTCTAACATACACAAGGCTGCTGCTCGATTCTGAGGCGGAGTGGTATTATATTACTGTAGTACAATCTGTGAATCCAAATTTCCCCACGAACTTTGCATCTTTTCAAAGTTAAAATTTTAGGTTTCAGGGGCTGCCTGATTGGTGTTTCACTCTATTTCAAGAAGCTAATTCAGATCTGTCATCTCCTTTCCCCATTGTATTCTGCCTCCAATCTTCGTTGTTCTGGCTCTCTGAAGAATCATTTACATATGCCTACTTTTGAGTCAGGCAAATGCTCTTGAAACAAGATTGGAATAGATGCTAAGTCCATTTTCTTTCTAGTGGAATATTATGTTCCGGCAACTAAAGCCCCTAGAGAACATGCTGATCGCGAACAAACGAGAGACTAGAAAAATGATGCTTTTCTTTACTCCCCCTATTTTCAGTTCTTTTGAATCAAAAGCATCCGAACCTCACACCTATAGGTGGCAAACAAACTCATTTATTTAAATTTACCTATACCCGTCCATGAATAAATGAGTATGGTCATCTTAAATTTTTGCATATGGATATAAATGGGTTATCCAATAATACCCATTAATAAATAGGTATTATTGGGTAATCTATCAAACCCAATTAACCTATTTAGAATTGTCTTCCCCCAAGTTTCCTCTCTTCCTTCACCTTTTTTTTTCAAATTTTTCATTTTGTCATGATATTAACTACTTTTGTTTCACTATTATTATTATTTTTTGGTTTTATCTTATCATTTTATTTTCTCTTAGTTTGTTAATTTGCTCATTTTTCAGCATTACTAATTTATGACAAGTTTTAGCCTCTTTTCCTACCTTTTCAAAATGAAATTTTAAATTTATACACGAAAAAAATGTTAAGGGTTCAAAATTTTTGGATTAAGTTTTTGTGTTAACTTTTGTAGTACTTATTTCAATTTTTATATTCTTATTGTTCAATTATTAAATAGTATGTAATTTTGCGATATAGAGTACGGATAGGGAAAAAATTGGTAATTAGGCATATTGTACATTACAAGTAAATATTTAAAACTAATGATGGGTGCAATGGGTGGTATAAATTGATAACTTAGTTTGTAAAAATAAATTTAAATGAGTTTACAAAAAGTTAAAATAAACGTGTTATAAATGGGTAATTGGGTTACCCAATTCATTTTTTGAATTACCCATTTATACCTATCTAATTAAATGGGTATAAATGGGTTGACTCACTTATACCCATTACTCATATTAACCAATGCAAACCCGTTCAAATCACCCATTTTGACACCTCTACTCACACCTAACAAGAAAACATATGGCATCACATTCAGAATGATAAAATTAGCTAAATACTAGGGGGGAGTGCCTGCGCATCGCGCGGGTGTTTGGTGCCTGTCGGGAAGGAGGTTTTTTTGTTGAACAAATAATAGTACATTGTGAGAAGAAATAAAACTCAGTATGAAAAGATAAACGATATAATTAATCAATTCACAAAGTGTTACAATAAAATTGTGTCAAATTGAAGGCCGTTGATAATGCAGAAAGGCAGAGCAACACAGAAAGCTAACCTTATTCCATAATCCCCACCGAGAGCTCTTTCTTGCTGTTGCTCCAAACCTATAAGATTATAACCAACCTAGACCAATTGGGGTTAGGCAACGCGAAAAATGCTATCTTGCAGTTAGGCAACGTGATAAGAATCGCTAATTGTAGATACTCAGAATACACCGACAAAATTAAGGAGGGAACTGAAAAATTGGGGGAGAGGTGAAATCTAACCTCACGCTAAACCACCAGGAGTAGCTGGGACTGAAGAGCATTCTGAACTGATTAGTATGAAGCCAAGTAAAATTATCCCAATCCTAGAATACGAACAGGAAGAAACTGATAATCAATCATTTAGGCATTAAGTTACCAACGGTTCGGCAATTGAATTGGGTGTAATTAATGACGAAATAATAGGTAATTTTAGAGTTGAGCTCGGATGGAAGAGAAAACGATGAGGCAAATCGTTGTAGATAAAGGCAAAAGGAAAAACTTAACTCCTGAAACTGAAAGGGGATAAAATGACTAACGTTTGTGACTCATACATGCAGATTATAAATGATAGAGAAATAGGTTCCTACCATTGATAGAGAAATCGTTGGCTCATTTCCTAAATCCGATTACCATTCAAATGTTTCAGACAAAGCAACATCTCAAACGGTTATTTGCGGCTGAAAAGGGAAATTATTGGTAACTAAGGGATATTCCGGTAATTACACCAACATACAAGCATATATAGGTTGTACAAAATGCAAAAACGGTTGCACACTAATTACACATTCCATCAATACTCAGATGGCTAATCAATGACAACTTTAAATGTATTAAAATAGGGTCATTTAAATAAACATACCCAAATACATGTTTCATTAACTTGTACCTAAAGCTTTTAAACTAATACACAACATTTCACATTCCTAGAAATCCCCCACCTATGCGGTTAAAATTCAACCTATTCTTTGACCAAAACTCAATCTTATATAGTATAAGAATATTCTGCAATCAATGTAACAGACCATCAATCCTACCCTATTTAATTATAAGTTCTACTCTTAAGTAGCAGTTCCATATGTTTCTCGTCATAGTAATAACAGATCCAAAAGGTGTTCAAGCTTGCAAATTACAATGGCATGTTCCTTTCCCTCTTGCCTTTCCTGTTCCCTACCCCTTCTCAATTCTAGATGGTAAAAGCTTTCTCAACAGAATGTTTCTTGAAACAATAACGGTTTTCCCTTTTACTTGCATACAACTTTGCAAAAGGGAACAATTTTGGGGTTCAAATTAAGGGGAAATGTTAAATCGCACTCACTTTTTGTTAATGGCACTTCCACCATTTATTTTATCATATAATCTAATAAATGAAAATTACGTGAAAAAAAATAATAGTGGGAGTGCCATTAAAAAAAAGTGGAATACCATTAACAATTGCCTTTTAGGGGACAGGCAGACGACTATCTTGGAAAAAACCAAAGAATGTGTTTGGATATTAGATTATTTAAAAAATATTATTTGAAACAATATTATGACACTTTTTGTGACATGATATACATGAGACAAAAAGATTATTGAAAATTTGTATTTATGATGCAAGCAGAATAATATTTACAAATTTCATCCCCAAATTATACAGAAATGGATCGGGTAAAAACACCTTAACAGAGAGAAATATGGAAGATTCTACCTGCACACCAAGCAAATACAGAAGCTCAATTTACATAATGTACTTTTGGACACTTTGAATGGTGGATACATTTATTATAACTTTTCAATTTTTCGACACGTCTCCAATCCTTCCAATAGAATTATTGCAACTCTTAAATTGAACAAATTCTTCAATGGGGACAAAACTAATTTAAGTGCCAGTTTGAAGCAAATCTTAGGAAAATGGGAGCATTTTTCCCCAAAGCCTGCTTCTGGTTTCTTTTTCATACTTTCTTTTGGAGGACGAATCGGACTATTCTGTATTTCGGTCTCAATTTGGGGTGCAAAAACCATACAATAAAAATCCAGCTAGCGCGTACTCCAATGGATGGCCCAAGGGAAATAACACCTGAACAAATTGTTTAAAATATTGGGCCCATTTTATATTTAGTTGGCTTATTAGGCCTATATGAATTTACTTTTGATTTACCTATTGGGTCATGCATGGGCCACGAATTATAACTTCAAAAGATAGAATTGGACCCCATTAACTGCGACTTCATACGATTCTCCCGTCCTCGTAATGGGAATTTCTTTTGGTCACTTTTCGGTGGCTGCTGCGTAATCAATGAAGGGTCTAAGAAGGATTTTTCTTTTTCTTTTTTTTTTTTTTACCTCCCATCCATCCCCATACTTTTCCTACCTCCAACTGTCAGATCAAGTCGAGAAGGTCTGAGACGGCGACAACGGGCTAAAAAAATTGCCTTTTTTTTTTTAGCAGTAGATAATGGAGTTTTAATATTCACAAAGAATTGTCGTGTTTGAATTTGAACAAAGATAAACACATAGACCTGTATACCATGAAAATTTGACTAAAACCATCTAGAACACTATCGTAGAGAAAATGACACCTATTTTGCTGTCACAACATATTTTCATGATATAGTAGTGAATTTTTGTTCAAGTTTTCCATTTTGACTAAAACCAACATATTGGTCTCCTAATATCATGAAAATGACACCAAATATACTGTCACAACATTTTTAGGTAGTAAAGTAGCCAATAGAGGTCCGCCACTAAGTAATTCACATCAGAAAATACTCTGCTTTATCATCATCATCGAACACTTTACTCTCATCGACTTTTGGCACCATCAAATTTCAACTTGGCACTTAGAATTTTTCCCTTGAAAATATCTAGCAATTTTGTATTCTATTACCACCACACAAGTTGGAAAAAGAAAATAAGAATATCTTAAAGCTACAATTGTCACAGTTAACAAATTATTATTATTTCAAGAGAGTTGAATTAGATAATACGAAAGGAAAAAGTACAGGTGATCATCGGTGCCAAGTTCAATCATGAGTTCGAGACCTCCCGTTACCCTATTTTTTTTAAAAAAAAATTAACCAAATATTATACCTTATTTTTTGGTGTAAAATGGGAAAACTTGAGAGAGGTGCACCGTGCACCCAACCCTCCCTTCACCCTACAAAAAAGAAAAAGAAAAACTTAAAAAAAGTTACAATGGTAATTAGTAACATCTCTTTATTACTGATTCACAAACCAGTAATTATCGAACTGATAACTAGACATGCATTGATTAATCTGCAATTGGTAGCGGTTTATTCCAACGAGTCAATATGGCTTTGTTCTAATAAACAAATTTGACGGTAAATAATTTCACTAAGACCAGATAAGATACAACCAGAACCAGGCAAGCTGCTACAAACAGTAGGTTCATTATTATACTTCGATACTAACTGCCGAATGGTTGTTTCTAAATAATCAATTTTAACTTTCAATTAGCATTCCAGACACAAGCTAGGGAATAATCTGATAAACACTTTACATTTCCAGTCCTCCCTTCTCACCAACTATATTAAAATGGTGAAGGAAGAATTAGTAGAGTACTAACTTAGACTAATCTAGCTAGTCAGATGAAAAAAAAAGAAGGGGGTCCATAACAACAAAACACAGCCAGACCCACTAAATCACGACTTCAACCACCGTATCTTGGACCTCAATTAGACACACATCCAAATATAGGAAAAAGCCATGGTACACAGTCAGAATCCAATGCCAACTCTTGAAATCTGCCCTTCCAATATGTGGACCATTGAGGGAGCTACTCATGATCTATGATCTAGTGTGTAAAGCATCAAACGGCCTATGCTGGATGGGAGTGGTGGCCCATGGGTTGAACGGGATAGGCCGAGGATGGCCCGGAACCAAGGCACGGGGTCTTGGATCGACGGGTGTCGAGATCGGGACGGCGGTGGAGGAGGAGGACGAGGAGGGTGGTGGGGCTCCAACACGCTCACAGGAAGGACACATGGTGAGGGTGGTTGGAGGGGTCATTTGCATGTAAAACTGCGGTGATAATTTGAGGGCTCTAAGTTCTTGTACTTCTTTCTGTAGCCTCCTATTTTCCACCGTCAAGCTTTCACAACATCTCTTCAAGTACTCACAATCCACTTCCGTCTGCTTCAACTTTGTCCTGTACGAATTCAATTGCAAATGAAGTTAATACACAAAATCCAGATCAAGCAAAATTTCATAACCATGTCACGTTCAGGATTGCTATATTTTCAGGAGTTTTTTTTTTTTTTAGAAAAACATGTATTATAGCGATTTGACGACGCGTAAAAAAAATTGATTGAAAAATGTGTTCATCAAAAATTTTTTGTCGCGAAAAAAAAGGGCAATCCAATCTTCTTTGTACATGATAAGTTTGTAAAGTTCTATGATACTACAATATTTGTACAAGTAACACGGCTACTATTGCAATTTTTATGTCACACGTCAACCTAGTTGATGATCGAAAGCATGCTTAACGTAAATGCAAGGCAAACACGAGTTAATCATGATGTCTAATAAAAGACTATACTGTGCCCAAGACCGCGACTAAATTATCTTTAACAATCATATTCTTTTGCTTTAGTTTGTCATGAATAATCATATTCTTGTCATCATTACAGTATCACGGTACATGATTTAAGCGATGACTAAGACGTAAATGGAGAAATAATGAGACTAATCAATCTCAACCGCGCGTGAATCACACGCGCTTCCACTGGCAAACGGAAAACGCTACCAGCAGCCGATGATCGTGCATCGCGGGGAAGGAAACAAGGGTGGAACTAGCTTAGCTAGTCAACCAACTAATAGGTTTGTTACTACCGAGGAACACATCGAAATACCAGAAATGCCCTCGATGAAAAAGGAAAATTTCCTCACCTTGCTCTCCTGTTCTGAAACCACACCTCCACCTGCCTTGGCCTCAGTCCTAGCCTCTTAGCCAAAGCCAGCTTTTGCTTCTGCGATAAATCAATAAAACAAACAAACAAACAAAAAATTCCCATCTTTCAGCAAATCTGCACCCCCAAAAAGGATAAAGGGAAATAAACGTAAAAAAGCCATTTTTTTCCGGCAAAATACTTACAGGATTCAGAGTGTTATGTTCTTTAAAGCTCTCTTCAAGGACGGCGGATTGATCTTTAGAAAGTCTGAGCTTCTTCCTGGAATTATCACCATCTTCTTCATCACTGATCCCTCTAGAAGAAGCCCTCTCCAGCTCATGATCTTCTCCATTAGCCTCTCTTTCACTTCTTTTTCCACTAATACTGGAAATAGTACTGTTTGGAGAAGACACTCCAGCCTCTTCCTCAGCATCCGCTGTGGCAGCAGGCAGCCTATTGACATCAATCCCTTTCAAAAACGCCCTCGTTTCCACTCTGCATGCATCCATGCTTCGATCTGCATCAAACCAGATCAAAACTTCTCAATCAGATCAATGATCAAGAATCCAAAATACCAAATTTTAAAAAAAAAAAAAAAAAAGTTGCCCTTTCTGTTTTCTTCTTTCCCTTGAAAGAAAGAAGAAAAGAAAGAAGAGTAAACATAAAAGAGAAAGGCAAAATTTCAATGGGATCTTAAAGATTAACAGACCTGATGGAGGAAGAGTATCGGTCCAAGAACTCTTTTGCTGAAGGAGATGACCAAAAGGTGATGGAGAAGCAGAAGGCATGAGATTCAGCTGTAGTGGACTTGAACTAGAATTTGTAGCTGTGGCCCTTTTCTCAGGGAAACTTAAACTTAGACTTAAGCCCAAATCTTCCTTGTCAACCACCATTTTCTCTGAAACTGTTAGCTTCCAAGAGGTTGTTCTTGATGATCCTTTGTATCTTCTTCCCTCCTTTTCACTTGCAACCCAACAAAGATCCAGCCTTTGTGAAGAATTCAATTAGGCCTTGAGAGAGCAGGATCCTGGCTTTTCCAGAAAGCGTGCACGGGGGAAATCTTTGACTCTCGAGAATGAGAGAAAAGAGAAAGAAGGAAAGAAAAAAGCTGCTTTTACAGATTGGCTTGTTTGTGGTGCAATTGAAGGTGTTATATAGAGAGAATAGAATGGGATTTTTCTCTTTGTTTTTCAAAAAAAAAAATTATATGCTACAGTATATAATTTTTAAGGGACCAGGGGTTGTGGGGGGAGGGTTGAGTCAATCATGGCAAGGTGGTGTCAGGAGAGGGGTACCAATTATCTCAATCATAGCTTTTGCCTCCCCCAAAATATTACCATACTCGAGTGGTTGTTTCTTTTGTCGTCTCTTTCATACATCTCCCTCTCTCATGCGTTTTGTCCAATCATGTCATCTTCTGATTTTTTTTTTTTTAATCTTAACCATGGGAAGAGAAGGACTTTTTCCGGGCTTTCTTGTCCTAAAGTCTTAATTGTACGTCTGGTGAAAGGATTGCTCTAAAGTATGATCCTACCATGTTAGCTAGTTAGCTCAGCAGCTTGGAACTATATGAGTCCGTTTCGGTTGTATTTTTTGGGAGTTCTTGTCAAAAAATAATTGTAATTTGTAATACTAGTATTGTGAGACATAGGTACATATGAGATAAAATGGTAAAAAGTTGTTGTGTTGAGAGAATAATTTTTAAAAAATTTAACAACCTTTCCCTAAAACTAACAAAATGTGCTAAAAGCGTACAAATTTTATAGCTCCGGTTTGGATTAACTGTTTTTTGAGATGTTTTTGAAAAATTTTACTGTAGCAGAATTTTTAGAGCAAATTTTGGGATATTTTTAAAAAATATTTTGGAATAGTTAAGAGTAGTAGAGTTTTTAAAATATATTTTGAGATATTTTTTAAACATTAAAAAAAATTAAATTACTTTTTAAAGTACTTTTTAAAAATTTTTATATAATATTTGAAAAACTGAAGGATCCAAATAGAGTTTTTTAGTTACTAGTAGTAGTAATAGGCAACAATTTGATAAACAAATATTCCTATATAATTTATATATTATTTGTAACATAATTAGAAAAAAAAGATTTACTAAAATTCAATGCAGTTAAAAGAACTTGATAATTTCACTCAAAGAACAAACCATCACAACCAAGTGTATACTTGCAATGGAGGATCCGTCGTAATTGTTAACATGTAATTCAAGTGTTAAATATTTTAAAAAGTATTAATTATAAAAAATGTATAAATATAAGAGAAGATAATAATTATTAGTGTGTTATCAGGAGTGATTTAGATGTGTTAATGAGTGTCCACTGAACACCTATTATTTTTCTTCTTCTTCTTGTGTTAGAGGCAATAATGGAGTGACATCTCTTTCTAAATTTCTTACCTATTCATCTTGTAAATGCAAATCTTGATTGTGATACTTTTTACAATGGAGAGACTGAAATAACTTAGGAGTAAGTCTGTGAATAGAAGCCAATTATTGAATACTTACTTGTACATAGATATTTGTAGTATTATTCAAATGTTTGAATTTTGTGAACAACTTTAGCTGAAGAAATAATTTAAAGGTAATTGCTGATCAGTAGTAGCACTTGTTCATATGAAGCAAATAGATATGCTCTTGTCCCTGCTGTTTCTTCTTCCATACTAGACTAGCAATTGGTTTTGCACCACCGCATAAACCTTTGCACGGTCTGGACCCGAGGAGAAGCAACGTCATGTGATCAAGTATGGTGGCATTACAGTAGAGCCAAGTGGGATGCATCACCATGAATCTCTGGAGAATCCAAATCATGGACCACCCCCCATCACCATGGTCCTAGCTACATCTTGATGTATGGATCATTCTTCTGCTAACTTAACTCATCAATCTGGGAAATTTCCCCACCAAACGCCCAATCAAAAGATGGTAAGAAGACCAACCAATAATGCGGGTGGGGTTCCAGTTTCCCCTCAACGCCTGTAAACTCTTCAATCGGGGTCCCAAACCCAGCCATACAATCCTGTATAGTTAGGCCTACACGTCCATCAAATCATCATTGATGCCTACTATGATTGGAACACACAGATAAACCATTGAAACACCATTGCCATCCATTATACCCAGTGTTTTGAAAACCGGACCGGACCGGCCGGTTCGACCGGTTGAACCGCGAACCGGCCATGGCTCCGGTCCGGTTCAATGCCAGGTTTGATTTTGTCAAAAAACCGGTCAAAAACCGGTCGGACCGCGAAACCGCTGAACCGGATTTGAACCGGTTATTTCCGGTTTTTGAGTTTTCCTTTTTTTTTTTTTTTTTTTTTGCAAAATGTAGTTATCAAGATTCGAACTTAAGACCTTTGTAATAGAAGACCAATGTAGTAACCGTTGCACTATCACATCATATTAGTTTTTTTTGATAACTTATTTATATAAAACAAACACTCATATTTCTTTTGTTCCATTTTTTTTACAAAATATCATCCTTTCATGACTCTTTCTTTTTAATCTTCAACACACACACACACACACACACACACTCTCTCTCTCTCTATCATCTTTTCTTTTGCCACTCATTTTTTAATCAAACCTCTTTATTTTTAATTTATTGATGTTTTCTTTCATATTTTAATTTTGTTTTTGTCCATTAAATTTAAAAAAGTTAAAAAAGAATTATTTTTCTTTAACCCAATTTATTTAATACCACAACCACTCACTTTTATCTCATTTTTTGTTTCTTATCAAATTTGCATTTCTATTTTCAATTCTCTTGATTTTCTTCGAACTCCAAACTTCCTTTTTTAAATTGTAAATTTAAATTCCAAAATGTAAATTAAAATTTAAGTTCACAATGTCTAAATTCTCATAGACGTGAATTTTGTATAATTTCAAATATTGTGATATTTTTTGATTATATTTAAGATTTTTTTGGTAGATATAATTGAAATTGAGATGAAATTTATTTGTTTTAACTTATAATTTAAAAAATTTATTTTTAAAAATCCAAGTTATTCAAAAATAGTAAACTTTTCATCATATAAAGTATTAAATTATCCATTACATGTCTTATTTTGTGCACATATATATTTATATAAATTATTTTTTAAAAAATTCATTGAACCGAGGTTGAACCGGTCCGACCGGTTGAATCTCGACCCTTTCACTTCACCAGTTCGATTAACGGTCCGGTTTTTAAAACATTGATTATACCCCACCACTCTCCCCATCTTCTCTAATCTCTCAAAAGTCTCCCATGCCATTAGCACGAGGGAAGTTTCAATAAACTTGTCTTTCTTCTTCTTTTTTACCTGTTTCTGCACTTGTCAATCAAGTGATAATGACAAATCAGTAGTGTATATCTAATTCACTTTCTCAATTTTAAGCAAATTTGTAAGTGCCAAAAACCATTTCTATATCAGAAGTATCCAATTAGAGGTGAGGTATGAATGAATGTTGAAAAGGACAAAATCATTACTTCTCAATGATGATTTCCTTATGCAATGAATTCCGATTATTCTCCTCCTGTAGTGCTAAATCAGTACTCAAGTAGGGCTGCTTAATTCTACACTGATACAGTCTCTTGTATTTTCTTTATTTCCCTTTAAATTAAGCAAACATCATGAGTGTGTTTTGAACAGGAGATCATTTGAAAATATTATTTAAAATAAGATTATAATACTTTTTTATAACGTAATGTTGGTGAAATAAAAAATTAATTAAAAAGATAAAATACTACTGTTACTCTTTATATTAAAAAAATAATAAATGGTTAAGAATACTCTTAAGATTAGTGTTTGTAATGATAAATTTTCCTCTTTTTTTTTTTATTTTTGTTCTCTTCTTTTGCTATAGAATCCGCCACCTAGTATTGCTCATGGCTTCTAGCGTGTCATTACAGGTTGTAGTCTTTTTTTTTTTTTTTGTTTGACGGAGGGAATATCCGGGCCATCGGATAAACCGGACCTGACTAATCCCCCACCGGTTCGAGAGGAGAGGCTCCATCCCCCCGAACATGATAACCATGGGACTCGAACCCTTGCAGGAATGGACAACGACTGCATTAGAAGGCGTGCCGTGACCAATCGAGCTATCCATGAGGAGCATTACATGTTGTAGTCGGTTAGCAGTCTTTCTTCATTTTTCCTGTTCTAATTTTCAAGAATGAAATAGTCATTCATAAATGCCCATTCTGCAGAAGAAAGAAACGTGTAAATCCCAAATTTGAACGTTAGCAAATGCCCAATATAAAGTCCAATGCCAAATCCAAGTGACCTTGTGGATTTCTTTTTCCTTCCAACTTGAATGCATGAATTTGTTGTCTTAAATTTCATTATCAATCTGTTTATTTTTCCAAAAGAAAAGTCACTTCTTTGATAGAAACTTTTGCTAATGCCATCCTCTTCATTGTCAGCTGCGCTAATGACCGAAAACTCATTCCACGGACTATTTGGGCAGCAGCCTTCAATAATTGTGCATACGACTTGAGGAGCAAATGACGGTTATGGGAACCAAATGGCTGTTCCCAACGTCTGTGTCAATTGTCAAATAATTTATATTCTCTACGTGTACGGTACAAGTTGACAAGCAACAACTTATAGTCCGATGGCTCGTTGAGGGAGAGTTGGAATGTAATTATCTGAAAATAGTAGTGCTCCGTTGTCTTGTTGAAGGATGGATATGATCTTGATGTTAGGATGGTGGTTTATGAAGTATTAGTATTAGGGTTCTGTGATTGAAAAAAACCACTTTTAGAATAGTTAATTATTATTCAGAGCAGTGACTGTCAATATCAACGTAATCAGATTTTTTTTGATGTATTATAATAACATAGTAACGTGTACTACGAGATAAAAAGATAATTTAAAAAATATATCAAAGATAATATTTTAATAATTTTTAATGAAAAAACTTGCAATCCAAATAAACCTAGCTAGCAATGTTGAGAATTTCATCTTTGCATGTTAGTTAGATAGATACATTTTATGAAAGCGCATTTATTATT